AAAATTCATTAAATACATATGAAAGCAGGCAGCAACATTCTGGTTAAAAAATACACTTGTGGCACTAGGCTAATGTACTTCTTTGGCCACACTCAAGTTCACACTTTTTCTTTTGCTTTGAATGAGCTCCCTTTGGGTTACTCATTTTCCTTCTCAAGATCTAAATCAAATTTCACTTTCCAACTACCCGATTTCAGGGGAATTACCTCTGCATTTCTAAAAACCATGTCACTCTTGGAATATTCTCTCTAAGACTCCTACTAGTTACTTTTCATTATATTTCAACTAGATCACAAGTTGTACGAGGGCATATTAAAAGTGCCTTCATATTTTTACCGTTCACATGGTCTACCACAGAGCTTTACCTATAATAAGTACTAGATCAATATTTGTTGATCTCATCATTTTTGAAATGATTCATTAGAGAGGCCTTGGTCACACATCATGTCAGAGTTTAATGATGAAACATAACAGGAAACACCCAAAAGAACAATTACACAGATTAGCTATCAAAAAAAAAAAAAGTAATTAACCTCCAATGTCTTTTGTTCCTAATTGAAAGAATGTAGGTATTTCTTTAGTATATGTAATTGGATACTCTATAAACTACCCAATAAAAATTTTGTACCATCTCAAATTTGGAAGCTAAATTGTAACTAAGAAAAATATTGGAAGAATAGGCCTCTTTATTTTCCTACCCCCACACAAACCACACCCTCCAACATCAGAGGTGGAGACAAAAATATCTGCCTGGCACCCACTCCTGTGAGTTTAATGAAGATCATACACCTAAAATTACATCAAACTTGCTGGCTTTCTCAAGTGATTTGAGATGTCAGTACCTCCTGGGACTACTTTATAACCACTAAAATGGTTCTAGGCATTTACTCTATTGTTCTAATACCATATTTTCTTCCCCCTTGAGGCTCCTGTATCTAGAACTGAATCTTCTTGGAGTAATAAATAAATGAAAGAATGGGAGAAAGTTTTAAATTATGGAAGAACAATATATGGGATGATAAGTGCAATACATTTGCCCAAATACACACAGGTGCTACTTCATTGGCTGTTAGTAATAGATTTGGCTGGATAGTTAGTTCCCTATTATAAATACCAATGTAAATGTTTCAGAAAATTAACAAGTAAGTATATAGAGATAAAAAATAAATCATTAAAACATGCCAAGAAATCTTGTCCAATATAATAGTTTTCTACAATTTTGATGCATTTAATTATTCCACAGAAACATTTCACAAAAATCTATGGATTTAAATAATCAGTAAGTATGGTTCTAAACTGAAGAAAATTAAAGACAGCTACATCGATAACTACGTAGGCCATATGTGTCACATTTCCTACCAAGTCACAGACTAACCCACATGACCATTTTGCAAATAAGCATCCTTCATCTCAAAGTGTGCCTAAATGAGAAACTGAATGGATCTAGTTGAAGATAGTTCAAAGCAAGTATCCTCTTGTATCAGGAAGATATATAGCATGGTACCTCTATTTCATTCATTTATTCATTCATTTATCCCACAAATTCTTCCAGAACACCTTCTATGACCCAGGACATAGAGAAGTGAATAAAATACCAACAAAGTACCAACTTTCTTTTTTTTTTTTTTTTTCAGAAAATTCAAATTTACAAAATAAAAAACTGTGTTTATTTTAAACTGGAATTTCATACTTTTTCTCTCAGATTTTGTTCCCAAACAAAAGGTTTTAGAGAAACAGTGAATTCAAACACTATGCTCACACTTCCATAGTATAGAGTACTGTGAGTTCTAAGAACGTTGGTGAAACTGAAGAGGATATTTGGACCAGAATTACATTACTAGTCTCCTTTGAAGTGCATATACGTGGGCCTCAGGTTATGATCATCGATACTATGCACACTTCATGAAAACAAGATGAGGAGTATGAGAGGTGTGAGCTCTACTAAAGCTGCTTTGGACCTTAGGCAGCACTCCCTGTGTCACTTATTGAATGTGTGAAGTAAGAGTCTCCAGCCTTTACATTTGCTCTTTCATCTCCTAATGGAGATTTAGAAACAGCGGCCTGTTTCGCTCCCCTGTACCAACAAACATATTATTTTGTGTATGACATAAATATATTTTTTTCTTTTTTGCATTTATAGCTTATAAATAATATGTTATATGTGTTATCAAGACCTGAGGAGACAGTGGTAATGTTTACTGCAGCAATCTGTGATAGATAAAATTCCAATGTAGTTAATGATATATATATTTATATTGTTTGGCTTCAGATAAATATGGCATAATTTATATCACTGAGTGTTTTTCATGAATGCAATGTCCACTCTTCCTGACAAATGATTCCTTGAATAAATGTAATATGGAAATATGTTACTTATGATGGTAATTTAGACCAAGTGTTACAACTAGTGGAAAAATGTAGAAATGTGAGTCTGTTTCTCTAACAGAACTGGTGGTTGTGTGTGTTTATAGGAAATTTTAGGTTCTTGTGCTAGCTTCTGTCTCTGTTCATAATTCCTACTCAGAAAAATATATTTCATGACAAGTTGTCTGGGACCTACCGTTAAAAACATCAGCTCTACTTATTATCATTTGCGGTGTATTCGTTCTGTATTTTACAATTTTTATTTGTTTGTTTGTTTGTTTGTTTGTTTGTTTGTTTTGGGTCATTTGCTGCCATAGTTTTTAATTTGATGAAAGAAAACTAAAATGCATGAAAAGTGTTAATCAGCTATGATTTGTACTACAAAAGAAACCACTGCACCAGCTTAGTGCTAGTCTTCCTAATTGACTAGTCCGATGTTCTCTCTGTGTCCTGCTGCCGTTAATTGACTATATTGTTTTAGATTTATGCATTAAAAATACGATTTATACTTCGAAGGGATCGCTTTGTTACTTCGTAGCTTTTAAGCTGATGCCATGAACTTATTTTTCTTCTAAGATAAAGTCTCATCTATAGATTTTTCAACTAATTACATGTCTGCCAATACATACTTAGAGGATACATTTTATTTCAATTTATTGTTTGTGTTTACATCGTGTGTCCCTGGAAATAGCTGTGAAACTGAAAGGAAATGTTTTAATGGTGTTTATTATTACTTTTTCATCATTCTTTCTCTTCCTTCTCTCTCTCTCTCTCTCTCTCTCTTAGCTTCAACCAGTCTGGTCAAGCATGACAGCAACTCAAACTCGGCAAACTTCCAAGACGCAGAGGACATGCCTGACAGATGTGTCGTGGAAGATTCTGAGAGTCCAGGTGAAAGCCATTTAAAAATAGTCAAGTATAAAATGATAAATTTGACACAGCTTTGGGGTCCTTGGAAAGGGGTGGGAGGAGAGGACATTGTAATGCTCTTTTCTCTTAGCAGCTGCACTGTCAAATTAATGGTCACCTCCAGGGGTCACAGTGTGGAGCTGTTATCTTTTCCTCTTTCATCAAGAATTCAGTTGGAGGAAGTACAAAGGCTTTATGACTGAAAAGGGAAGCTGACACTATTAGTTCATTATCATCAATTTTAGGCTAAACTGGTTAATAGAGACAGAGATTGGAAATTGGAGAAATGGCAATATTTTAAATATTTCAAATAATGGGATCAAGAGGAAGTGGAGAGTTAGAGAGAAAAGAAACACAAATTGTCATCATTACAATCTATTTGCCTTTCTAAATACAAACAAGACTTTAACTGGGGTGAGAGGACTTCAGCATAACAGTAATGGACTAATGGATGTTGACAACTGCTTAGAACAAGACAAAAGAAAAGAAAACAATAACCTTGCCTCACAAAATACAATTCACCTGATGTCCAAGTTACTTATGATTGTATCTTTTTTTGTAGAAAGAATAGATGGAAATGTACTGGAACAATATGGCCAGGAACACTTAAGGATGGATTTCTGTTTCTGTTTTTGTTATGTTTTGAAGCATATCTAGCCTTAACAACTAATTAATTAAAATGAAAATAATCTTGTGAAAGTCGAATGACATTCCTGGATCACTACAAAGCCACAGGGTGCTAAAAGTTACCTTATCATGAATGAAAGAGTTAATCTCCCCCTACTGAACATTTTTCTTTCCTATTTTCTCTGGCTGCTGTGTACCCTCTACCCTCTCAAATCTTTGTGTGCTGATCCATGTATCAGATTTTTGATTCATCCTCTCTGTGGCCTGTCAGCTTAGTTAAGAGATTTCCAAATCTTGTAGCCTTCGCTGACAGGGGGCAGCTGCAAACAGTCCCCTGATCCTTCCCGGAGGAGAGCTACTGAGATTTAATTTTCAGTGAAAGGTGCAGCCTGCAATCTATGTCAGGTCCCCTAAGTCATCTCGGAACCCCGATAGGCCCAGTGGCGATGGCATTGCATTTCAGACCCCGCCACCTCACCAAGATTCCTCAAAAGATGGACTGCTGTTGTGTGTCTGTTCTCAGCCACGCTTCGACTTTCCCATGGAACTGAGAAATGATATCTTTAGCAATGACAGAAATTTTTAATCAGCACATTAGCCCCACCCCCTGCCATATCTAAAAGATGAAAATGTAGATTGGTACCACTATAGAAAGGTCAGCGTAGTGGTAGCGTTCAATTTCTAAAAATGTGTATTTTAAAATTACTTTTCGTTTCGACTCAAATTGCCTAATTTTGACTATGTTCTTAAACTGTCTGAATAAACAGTTTTCTATCAACCATTTCATCAGGCTGTTCAATGCATGAGTCAAGTTTTTACCTAAGTGTTTATTGTTTTGGCAAGAATACATCAGCTTTATGCTATTTCAAAAGTAGAATAAATTTCCGTTATCCCTCAATATGCGTGGAATTATTGTGAGATTCAAATATAACATAGCCTAGCTGATTGATATAAACAAAAGGATATAACAAAACAGAAAGTTTAATTAGAAAATATAAGTGCTGATATGGAATCTTAACTTAAAAAGTGAGTACTGTTCTATGCATCGGACATCATTAAACTGGTAATAAAGAATGAATTACTCTGGCTTTTTCCTCTGTCCATTCCTGCATTTTAAGACATCTTGCCTTATAGGCCTAGAAACCTCTGGAGAGTTCACTACTGGTCTCACTGCCTTCCACTGAGAATTTGTGGCTTGGTTGTCATGGAGACATCGTATTTCTCCAAGAATTGCTCATATTGATCCGTGGCCAGGCGTAAATGGCCAAGCGAGTGTGAGGAATAAAGGGGGCTGGGCAGTCCTATAAAATGACCAGGGCTTGTGGGTTGGAAATAAGCTCATAGCAAACACTTAGGTAAAAAGAAAGAAGCAGTTTTATTTTGTTTCAGGATTTCTTTCTGCACTTTGGGCCATTGTCTTCTTTCACTATGAACTGAAAGAAACTTGTTAGTCACTTGTCATGTCAGATCTTTGGTGCTTGTCCTGACACAGCTGTCAGCCTTCCAGCTCTGTGCAGTTCAGGGACACACAACAAAGAGGCAATGACATGAATTATTTATTGCTCCTTGTGTGGATAAAATTCTGTGATAAGAAATTAAGACACTTCTGACAGAGGTCCTTGTTTAGTAAGAAAGATTTCGATGAGAGAATGCATTTTTTGAAGTAAGAGCATCTGAGAAGCAAAATTCTTAAAACTGAACATGAAGATACATGAAATTGGTGGCATAGAGGGACTCTCCTGAACTGTGGAAATATGAGTATCTACTTCTCAGTGTCCAAAAATTAACTTCGAAATATCAAGTCATTCAAATGTAGGGGCTCCAAAACTAGAAACATTATTTTGGCGGTTGTTACCTCAATTTACCACATAGGAGTGGTGTTCCTCTGGAAAATATGTTTAACTACCTTTGTTAGAATAAAAAACAAATTTTGGAGTTTTTAAATGATAAGCTTTGGGAAGATGTCTTCAAACCAAAAGAGGTGCTTCAGTAGCTAAGTTTAAACTTGCATTAGTGTATTCATTATTCCTTGTATAGAAGGAAGTGCATTTAAATCATGAATGCATCATTCTTACCATTTTCACCTGGAATATTATCACTCATTTAAAATTCCTTTTAACATTTTCATGTACGTGCAAAATCCCCCATTTACAAAGTTGAATGTGGTCAGTCTTCTAGCTTTAATGGATATTGACCTTACATGGTTTTATCTATGCAATCCTAAATGACTAATATATTTATTACATCATTTTTAATGAATAGTCCAGTTGTTTGAACAGCATATAGAAAATAAAAACAAAAAATTATTTTCCCATTCAAGGACAGTTTAAGAATATTGTCTCATATATTCTTCTTTGCAAATAAAGTCTTTTCTTTGTAAATCCACTAAACATCATTCTACCTTAGCTCCTTTATCTTCTTCTTGCTGATACCAACTCACTTGCATATGCAAAGGGCAAAGGAGCATTGAATCACAGAAAAACTAAAATAGCTTTTTAAAAAGGTGAGGTTGGAGGTTTTCAAACATTGATATAACATTTTTAAATGTCATTGATAAAATCAAATTTTTAGAAATGATATAAAACAGTAAGATTGACTTCACAAATTGATTATATTTGAATACAGTGGATTTTGAACTCCATCTGTAGAGTGTGTTTATTTTTTCATTGACATCACTGCTCTCCAGCACTGAATTGACTGGAATGACCCATTTGTAAATGGCTGGAGTGTGCATATAGGTCACAGTTTGGAGGCCTGGTGCCGTGGTTGTTCACCTAGTCTCTAGAGCACTCTACCTTTATGCATCATGCCACTGTGATCTCTTTATTGGTTCAAGCTGTATATACCCAGATGAGTGCCTGCAGTCCATTAAGGTTAGCAGAGCAACTTTAGACTGGAGCATTCTTGTTACTCTGACCCTGCTCATGAACCCGGAGGTCTTGTCTGATAGGTTAAGGTCTCCCTCAGCCGTGTCTTTTCTTTGGAATAATTCATTAGCAAAGAGTTTCGCCTCACAGGTGAATCCCAGATTGAAGTTTCTAGCTTAGATTCTCTGAAGTCTACTTGTTTCTTCACTGGCATTTATACATTCCTGAAACCTGTGGGAATAACTTTGATGTCTAGTAATAGAAGCACTGAGACATCATGAACTTGCAGTTCTCTTTTTTGAGATTTTAGGGCCATTAGACTTTCTTTCTTCGGCTCTTTAAGGCCTGGTCACTTCTGAATCTGAAGGATGCTATCACAAAAATAGTTCAGTTTCATCTTTTGCTGGTTAACTTCTTGTTAACTATTTCAGGCAGTGATTAAAATTCAATGTTTCTTGCCCCTCATCTTTGCGCTCATGATGATAAAAAGTTTAGCATGACATTCACAGTTTTTACCCAAGTGTTAATGAGAGACCTTCAGTTTCAGTCATCTTATTGGCTTGTAAAATTAAGAATTTTACTTCCTAGTGCACTAGGGACAGTACACTTAAATATAGCTCGAGCTGAAAATAGTAGTGACAAGAAAGAGCTTGAAAGTACAAAAAAAAAGAAGGCATTCGGATAAGCATTTTCACGTCTTTCTGAAGTAGTTTATAATCAGTATGCTTTCTATCCTTAATAGAACATTTTAGTGGTTTTTGTATAGCACCTTATGTGTGTAGTTCTATATACAGCATTGTCAATCAATATTGCATTTACATGAATCTGATGAACAAAACTAGGTTTCTCACAGTTTCCAGAGGGATACTACATTGTGAAAAGCCAAGGTGGATTTTTTTTTTTTTTCTTTTACTATTCTGGCTCATGAATCACCAGCAAAAATCAGGTAACAGAAAGTAGGACAGATTCAGGACTGGAGTGTTGGAGATGGCTGATGATGATGCATGAAGCAGAAAAAATGTGGAATGTGTGAGCAGCCCATCAATCATGGCCATAGAGAACACACTTCTTATGGTTAGTGCTAAAAAAAAAAATGTTCTAGAAGTAAGAAAAATTTCAGTGGTAAAAAACATACAAGCTCTTTTTCCTAGTTGTGTTTAACTATATCGATATTTTTCAAAATTTACCCAAAGGGAAAAATTTAAGCATCAACCTCATAACTTTTAAAATATGTAAAATTATAGACTAATACATTATTGTATATATTGTATATGGCATACAATATTGGATATTGGTTTAATTAAACCAAATAATCAGCTTTTTGAGTTTTTGCCAGTGGAAGTGGAAGTTACTATGCATGGTCACATAATTAATAGAAATGTGTTTAGAAGTCGTTACCTAAGGCACAATGCTCCAACTAGTTTGATAGTCAAATTAATTTAAAGCAAGTGATATGTTTTTAGCCTACAGTAACAATGACCCAAGTAGTTTGAGAAATATTTTTTTTTCATTCTATCAATCAAGCCATATTTCAACTAATATTTAAACATTTGACCCTAAAACTGCAGTTGTGGGTTTTTCTAAAAATAATTCAGCTCCTTGAAATTTATGGAAATTTACTCATTTAAAACCCAGTTCATCTCATTGAAAACTTTCATCTTTCTTGGCAGTGAAAAAAAAAAAACATATTAATAATATGTGCAATTAAAATATTTTTACTTGGGGTCTGGTTTATAAGACAGTATTTTTATTATATTAACATATTTTACTTCAGAATAGAAAAGAAATGTAGAAATGAATAGGTAATTCCTTCCTTCTTTTCTTTTTTCTTTCTTTATTTCTTGTCTCATTCCTTTTTTCCTCCTTTCCTCTCTTCTTCCCTTCCTTTCTCCTTTCCTCCATTTTTTTTTTTTCATCTTCTTTATTTCATCATATAACCCAAGATAATGTATTTTCTTTCTAGGTAAGCCAAGACCTCATTCATGGATTGCAAAGATGTGCTTCTGCAAGCTGTGCTAAATGAAATATTATCTGTAGGAACTGGATTTGGATAAATAAGGAAACCAAAAACATGTCATTTGTTTATCATTGTATATAAGCTATGTTGTTATTGATCAAGACATTAGGTAGTAGTAGATTTGCTAATACTTTAGCCAGAGTACATGAAAGTGTAATTACTGATCAAAAATATCCAAACTTATCTAATTGTATAAAATCATTGTCTAAATCATCCTATATTTCTGTTTCTTACTTTTCTTTTCATAATTCCAGCAAGGAATGGTAGCCTACAGAAGCAAATTTAACACCATTTTAGATTTTCTTCTATCTTTTCAGTTCCTGAATTATATAATAAACAACATTAAAACCACCTTGCTTTTAAACAATGTAACACAATGCTTTTAATTTTAATATTGTTTCAGTGTATTTAATCTAAAACTTTACCAAATTTATTCAATTTGTTAGGATAGGACATTTTGTTTTAGTAGATACTTTAATTCAGATCAATCACCCTGCAGTAAATCTGATCCCTAAGGATGAAATGTTGTCAACAAATAGCTAGTTCCATTTAGTCGTCGATTAGCCCAAATAAGTGATACACAATATAACTGAGACCAATCTTGTGAGTCAAGTTAATTCAGACTTCTAATAACATAGAGGCTAATCTTTAGCTAAAGGATGATCTTGTTGGACATGTAGTTGTGAACTAGGAAAGGGGTATCTACTTATAGCACAGCACAATTGATCCTTATGAAGCATAAATTCTTATAGTTCTCTTCCCAGAAAGAAGTGTGGCTTACAGGAATTCTTAAACTAAAATATGTGAAGCAGTGTAAATAGGAACAGACATAAAGTGCCCATCTATTAAGGTCTTTAGTTACCTGATTTATTTGCTGATTTATCTTGTACAATTCCTGGATTTACAGAAAATTATCAAAGATTATTAGTTTGTGTATAAATACAAATGTTGCTTAGTCCATAGAAAAATGGAAATACAAATTTAAATATATGATATCTATATCTACCTATCTGTCTAATAGGCAAGTTCCAGTCACTTCAATTCAACAAACATTTTGGGGACACCAGCATTAACTCTTGTTCTGGGATGTAGTGGTCCAGGATACGGGAGATTAGAGAATAGAAATAGCATGGTCTGTACCCTTAAGAAGCTTATAATTAATGATTGATGTGAATGAATATACCAGAAAATAAACATAAAATGGGTGTGACTCCTTTAAAATAGATGGAAATGTGTGCCCTTTCTTTCCTCTCAGACATGATACCATTGCTTGTAATAACTTTTGAGCTGTATTTCACGAACAATAACACTGATAATATGAATAATCATGGAAAATTATCATCCCTCGAAAATCGACATAAATGCTTTGGAAATAGTCAATTACTATTTGGAACAGGTTTCAAAATAAAGGAATGTAGCAAGCTAGGCAATGGAACACAATCTCTTGCATGCTGTGTACTGGCTCTGAAGGCCATTACAAGAAGGACTCCCAAAAACATCTTTAATGATGGCAATATCAAATAAATTCATGTCCTCTCAAAGGGCAATTTTAATAGTTAAAACTTATTTGGATGCTCACATTTTAGCGTTATATAAAAATAAGCTTTATTTATGTAGCTATGTCCTATTATTCCCTTTTCAAAGGAGAATAAAAATGAGTTTAAACCATTGCCATATTTAGCATTTTTGTAGGTCTAAGAAAACCAATACTGAATCTTTGATAAATATTTTATGATGTCACTACCTATAGGAAATTAGAATTAGCATAACCCTGTCATTACTAAATGAGATTTTCAAGATATTTTTGCTGAAATTTAATAATTCATATATATGACTAATTGAAATCTTTTATCAATATAAATTCTGGAGTCCAACACCATTAAGTATTAAAACTTTTAATTCCTAAAATGAGTTTTAGAAATATACATTTAAGTGATGTTTCCCAATATCCAGTGCAAGTGTGTTTATGACACAAATCTACTAGTCTGTTTAAAAATGATTTCTTTATATTGACTTATACTCAACATGTTTCAGTAATTTCTGTTGTAAAGAGAACTTGAAAGAGCAAGTTGCCACACAATTAATTGGATCAACCACTTACCCTAACCACTTGGTGCTACAGCTAGAAAGTCAAAACTGACTGCCTCTTGATTACATGTTTGTCCTTCTGATGGCCTAGCCTTAAGTAACAAGTGGAAAAATCGTATTAGTAAATGAATGTGTTCGTATCCAGTCTTCCTTGTCATTCTAATAAATAATTCATTAAAAAATTATCTTGTGGGTTTTTTTTTTTGGCAATAATCTTGGTTATATTAATGATTATATATTTTCTTACAAGGAATATCATATCTTCAAATTTATAAGTGGGGATTCTGTTATTCATTGTGGAGTTACGTACTGGCTATATTGCAATGGAAAGAATCTGGGAGAATGTAGGTTTAAGAGCCAAGGCCTCATTGCCATGTGTCTAGGCAGCATGTCCTTAACTGTGCTTCTCAAAACCTTGCTTCCCCATCCGTGTCGAGTACTCCTTCACAGGGTTTGTGTAAAGGCAGTCCACAAGACGGTTTATGGAAAGCAATCTGAACACTGTAAAGCACTTCAAATATAAGGTAAAATTTGTAGTATTATAAACATAACTAGAGAGGTAGCCTCAGGCCTGAAACATTCTGTTGCTCTTTTAAAAAGTAAGTTAAGGCTAACTTTGAACATGTCACAATTAGGAAAATTATAGGAAAACACTTTGCTAAATATTAACATTCTATCCCAAGATGGTAGCATTTTAGGGTAATTTTTATTTCCTTATGTATTTTTCTCCAATGTTCTATATTAAAAACCTTTTATAATTATTGAAGTGAACATTTTAGAAAAGATAGTGTTTCTCTTCAATCTTGAGAGGGCACATTATAATAATTGAATTTTTAAAAATCAAGTTTAATGCCATGTGTTTAAAGGCCGAGAATACATTAATGCAATTGATTTTAAAGTCTTAGTTTCGCAGAACGGACTCATTCATGTAATTTTTAAATTTTTATATTGCATATACTTTGATTATGCAGTAATTTTAAAACAGTACTGTATACCCTTTGATTCTCCACAAAATGTTTTACATGTAAAGTGCCTGAAGTCATGTCTAATTACGTAAGAAAGTCATCGCTTTGTAAATGTGCGCATAGTTAGCATTGTAAAATATCTTCAGAATTAACTGTGACCAAAAAAGTTGCAGAGTTAGAACTTTCTTGAGTAGACATCTTTCTGGTGAAGGTACGTGGCTTCACATACGGTGGTTTCCAGACCGCTCTGCTGCAATTCTGTCAACAAGGACTCTACAGATGGCATAGAGGAGAAAAACATAAACCAGAAAGGAACTAAGTCTTTCAGTAAAAGCATGCCACTTAAAACTCCCAGTCAACCTGTGACCCCTGAAAAACAATATGCGTCATTATATCTCATTGGCAGGACAGGAGTTGTGGGGGGAGGCTATACTGGCACAACTCTGGCACAACTCTCACTTCTCTTGCCCTCATTCCAAACTTCTCAGATCCCACCTTTATTTAAATTTTTGATACCATGGATTTTTTTTGCATTAATCTGATTTTCATAACTTTTATTAAAATATATTTGTATTCAAATATATTTGTCTCGATTACTGAGAATTTTTGCCGTCCCTAGTCTTGGGCCCTAACTATTAAGTCTGGGATAAAGTCACCTCTATCCTGGAAAGCATACTGCAGGTAAATAGACTGTGACAAGTGCATCATTATGAGCATGATTATAGTTATACAAATGGTGAGAAATAATTATTTTAATACGCTGTGAAAACTAAAGCCATAGACCATTGAAAATGTTTGAAATGGCTTATTTCTATTGGTGTACAAGGGAAATGTTGGGCATATACGGTTCTTTCTTTTGACATTGTTTCACCAAATGCCTTTTTTTTCATTGCACAAAACATGTTTTCCTATCATCAATTTTAGGAATCCTTTCTGTCTTCAACACACTACTAATTGGAAAGGTAGCAGTGACTTTTTTTATTCAAGGATTCAAGTTTTTTAAAAACCAGTACACGTTCAGTACAACATTGTGCTTAAATCTGCCAAGTGCAAAATGCCTGCAAAATGCCAATAGTCATAACATTATGCAACAGCAATAATTGGTTGGTACAGAACCTATCATTTATTCACTTAACAATTATTTTAATTGCTATTATCTGTAAAGACATCAATCAGCTTTTCAATCTTGCATGTGTGTTTTCTAGGGAGAAGGTGTTTTCACACAGCCTCAGTAACTGAGCATCGTGCCCTCAAGATGCCATCTCAGATAAAAGGACAGACTATGATATGTTCTTGACACATCACATTTCCTTTAGACTTTTAAAGTGATTTCTTGGTAATTCTACAGTGTCAACTGTATTTCCTATCAGAATTAACCTCTCATCTATATCAAAAAAAAATTTACATTTATGTTATCTCCATTTGCATCAATGTATGGTTATAATCAACTGAGGAAACCTTTAATTTTTTCTTTTGTATTTTAGAGACTGCCAAGAAAAAAAAAGGTGGGGAGGGCAAAACAAAACAAAAAACTAGCACACTGGTATTCAGAGCCTTTATCCTCTCTCCCTGAGACAGTCATAGCCACAGGATCAAGTTGCGCTTGGGATTGTTTTTATAAGGAAGATTTCTTTGGATCAGCCTCTATTTCAAATAATCGATGTACTTCTACTAATCCAAGCAAAACCAGTTAGTCCAATTTCTGCAAAGATTTGAGTTAGGAAGTGAGGTGAAAACTACAAATACTACCAGCATTTCAATTGTCATTGGGATAGTCAAATAAACAAATTCGGAGATTTCTAAAGTATATTTTCATAGAAAGTATACTGCAGCCGATGCCTGTCCAGAAAGGTGCTGGGTTTTGTTTGTAGTCCTTGCCATGTAGGTGGCAGCAACACTCAAGGCTAGAAATTTTCTTTCATGTTCTCTTAGCTCTAGTCCAAAGCATATTCTTACTAGAAGCCTTTGTGGAAGAGAAAAGGTTTAAACTGTAGAGACAAATTTCTCTATGTCCTCACATATCTCTAAAGCACTATTTTAAGGTTGAGCTAAAGCAGTTCCCATAATGTGAAAACGTTCATCATTTTCCTTAATACAGAAGTCATATTCTGCTCTCGTACATGTTGGTAGTATTAGGTTTGCGTTTCTTTATTTACTAGGACCTGACTTCTTCACCATCATCTCTCAGGTTAAAGGCTTTCTCTGAAGAAAAAAGAAGAAAACTGCTTTATTCCACTATTTCCTAAACTTTCCTGGAAAAGAGTAAAAATCTGTCCCTTTATTCTTTATAAACATCTAAGAAGCCAGGTATTTAGTAAATGTGGACAGATTTTTCTTTAGTCTTCCAAATGAAGCCATTTTCTCTGATTGTCCTAACTAGAGGTGACTGCATTCAAGTTAGTTCTGTGTGTAAATCTAATGAAGTCCAAGCAGAGACGCCCAGGGCACCTGGAAGTGGGGCCAGGAGACAAACAGGTCGTGCGCTCTAACGCTGAGGTTGTTGAGCCATTTGGTGGCTGTAGATCGCTCTCTTAGAAAGCTAGTGGCTCCTGAACCCAGGCAGAAATGAAACCAGGAAGCCCACCTTTATGTAAATAATTTCGTTATTCCTTAGTGTTGGAAACTGATGAGCAGTAAGCTTTTCGTCAGGTCCTGGCAATTTGCTCCGACTAGGCCATGTTATAGTAAACAAGCAGCTTTTATGAAGGAATCTTCAGTGTGTTCTTTTTATATTGGGTTGGTTATTCTATCCAAAATACCTAGAGAATATTCACAATTCCAGGCACAGGTAAAGAGGATAACAACTTCCCAGGTTGTGAGGAGATCATTGAATGGTTTTGGGAAGGTGAGGAAAGGGTTCTTTATCAAATATCATAATTTTTACCGCTCCTCACTTCTTTTGTCCTTCACACCCTTGATGACTTTTCTCTAATATTTATGTAGTTTGATGCAAGTATTTTGCATTGTAGCAGTCACCGAAGATGGAATCTAAGTACCGGCATTGTGCCTTAGCTCCTTCGCTTTCTTACTCGCCGTTTTGACATCAGAAAATAGTTTTATATAATACCCTGAACATCAATTTTCCCCTCTATACATTAGGACTAATAATTCCAACTTCGCAAGCACCATATGCATGTACCCTTATTATTGAATATAATATTAAAAATAATTGAAATTACTGCACGTACCCAAAATACCTGATTAGAATCTTAATTATGGACAACGGTAATGGTACTCCAGCGTTTGAGCAAGCTTTTTACTCAGGTTGGAGAGAGCAGTTTGGCATAAACAAGCTAAATAGGTTTATTTAATAAAAGTTTCTACTTTTAAAATGTTTCATTTAATTGAGTACTCCCAGGATCAAAGGCTTGTTTCAGAGTTTTCAACAGTTTATTTAAAGGTCAAGGCTTTCCCCAGCTCAGTGGGTAATAATAAATAGTAAATAGTTTTTTTTTTCTGGGTCCTGAAAGATAATCCTTTGGAAATGTTTTGTGTTTCAGATCAGAACAGGCTACAATCCATCTAAGGGTGTACAAAATGACAGGTAGATTTCTTGTTGACTTCAATTAGTCTTCTTATTGTGGTATTATGATGAAACTATAGCTTTATGTGAAGGTGCTGAAAGACACCAAAACAAAACACATAAGTCCTTCTAAAGAGGTATCCCCAAAACTTAGAGTCAATGAGTTCCTGAGAGACTGTGTGTAAAACAAACAGTGTATATCAAATTCTACCTTCCTAGTGAGGATGGCATGTGTTAGAAATGTTTTCCTATTAAGCAAAAATCTGAAAAAGTATGAACTAAGAAAATGAGAGTCAAGGAAGGGTTAAAGTAGGGACTGACAGCTGCATCAGGGGCATCAAATACCTGGAGAGTGATGCTCATCCTCATTTTTATTTTACTAAATCTTGGTAAAATGTCTCATGAGAACTCTGTCTCTGCTTTTGTTCCCTTCTATCCCCTCTGGCTAAGTGGAAAGAAAGATTATTGATCAGGAAGCAGAAGCAGAAGAAGGAGGAGGAGGAGAAGGAGAAGAAGGAGGAGGAGGAAAAGGAGGAGAAGGGAAAGGACAATGACAACAACTATGAGGATTTTCAACTGAAGTGGCAAATTAGAAACATATTCACCTCCACCCTCTCCTGCAATAATGGGATAAAAGACATAACCCCAGAAGGAAAATAGAG